ATGCTCGGACAGAGGGATTAGCACATTTCACCTCCATGTCGTTCTAGTCCTCAGTGGGCCATAAATGTTAAAGGATGAAGTGAAAAAAACAGGAGATGCCTTTTATCATGACCATCAATTATCATCATTCTCTTAACTTCAGAAGACAAATATGAAATCTTCACTAACCAATTAAAGCAAACAGAGTATTTGATTAAATTCCTCCCATTTCTCATGACTTTTTTTTTTGGAGAGGTTTTTCCTATAGGGCTCATGCGCTTGCCAGAAAGACACAGAGAGACAGAAAGAGAGAAATCACCCCCCAGGGGGGATGGCCACACCACAGTCCCTTCTCTTCCATTCTCCTCTGGGGATCTTGGGCACAGATGCAAACGCTCCTGGCGTGAGTTTAAGCCACTGGGTCCAGGACTTGAACCACGATTGTCTACATGGGACTCCAATGACATAGCCATTGCATCAACTGCTGGTCCCCCTTTTTTCATGACTTTTTATTTTTAACTAATTTCAAACTTCCAGAAAAGCTGAAAGAATAGTACAAAGAATTCCTGTTTATCAGTTTCACTCAAATTCCTCAGTTGTTAATATTTTACTATACCTGTTTTATCATTGTTTTAAAAAATTATCATGTATTTATTTTAACTGTATTTTTTGTTATTATTTATTTTTAATTTGACCAGAGAGACAGAGAGAGAGAAAGGGAAAGTGAGAAAGCAAGCTGTCAGGTCTAGGACTCAAACTACTGTCATCCATGTGGTAGTCTAGTTCCCTAACCACCATGCCAACTGCTGGCCCCTCTGTTTTATCATTCTTAATAGACAGATGGATATAAATTCATACACACACATATAGTTTTTTTTCTAAACTATTTGAGAGCAAATTGCAGACATGACGTTTATAATTGTTTTTAAGTCATTTTCAGACTCTATATTTGTTTTTCACATTACACCAGACATTGAACCTACCAGTTTTGAGTATCAGATTGGAAAGAAATCCTTTCTTGAAAATTTTGACATAGTTTCTAATTGTTACCTTAAGTCCAGGAAAATCAACTTTCCTTTGAATTAATTTGATCATAAGAAATGTTTCCACAGGCCCCCTTGTAGTCCAGAGGTTAAGCCTGTGGGTAGGAAGCTACATCTCACTTGATCTCCTGCAGCTGGAATCTTAGATAAGGGTGGCGTGAGAAACACACTTGTGCATGTGTGTGTGTGTGCTTCAAATCCTGATGAGTTGGAAAAATAGAGGTTAAAGGATTATAGTTTGACCATGCCTCATTTGGGGGTGCCTTCTCTCTCTCTTTCTTTCTCTCTCGCAAAAACATGCACACTCTTGCAGTAAAAAAGTGTTTATTCAGCATATATATGAAAAGTAATTAGATTAATGGCTTCACTGTCTCTGCAGAAGCTAGAAGGTTTTGTTCTTTTGCTTGCCACTCACAATATTTTGGATCTTTGTTCAGGGGTCGTGCTAAGGTAGCTAAAAGGAACTACTCTACAATTTATATTAACTAATTAAGTAATTTTAAAAAAGAAAGTCACTGGGGACCAGCAGTTAGCGTAATGGCTATGCCTCTGGACTCCCACTTAGTCGACCATGGTTCGAGTCCTAGACCCAGTGGCTTAAAACTCACGCCGGGTGCGTATGTGTGCGCGTGCCCAAGATCCCAAGAGGAGAATGGAGGAGAAGGGATTGCGGCGTGGGTGTGTACATACCCAGGATCCTGAGAGGAGAATGGAGGAGAAGGGATTGCGGCGTGGCCATCCCCCCTGGGCGGTGATTTCTCGCTTTCTGTTTCTATGTCTCTTTCTCTTTGGTGAGCGCACACGCCCTATAGCAAAAACCTCTAAAACAAACAAAAAAAAGAAAGTAACTGGTGACTTTTTTAAAAGAATATTTAATTTTATTCGTTTTTATTTTTTAATTTGATGAGAGTAAGAGAAAAAGGGAAAGTGAGAAAGTAAGCTGCCAGGTCCAGGACTCGAACTGTGGTCAGCCATGTGGTCAGTTTCTTAACCATACCACCTGCTGGCCCCATGTTTTAATTTAATATTGTACTTCCAGATTATGAAAATTATAGATGATATTCCAGGTTACTTCTTGTACCTAAAATAACTAAGTTCCTCTGGAACAAGACTTAAAAGTGATTGGCAGTATAAACTTTTTTTCATTGCTCAAGTTCATAATTATGAGAGAATGAAGGAAGCCTCTGGCTAGATTAGAATAATTTTATTCAAAGCCAAAGGTTTTTTTTTTTTT